TGTGTGCATTATATTTAGTGACCCACAGACCAGATCTAGTCTAGTCTACCGCCTTAATTTATAACTTTTCAAACACAATCTATTTCAGATATGTACTTGAGGTGAATTAATTGATAACAGATTTTATAACTTAACACTTAAAACAGAATAAGTTGTAAATTTATCTGTGAATGTTAATAAATAGTCTCTTGAAAACTTGCCTGAACTAGGCATATGACAAACATGCAGATTTGAGGGATTTAATGAAACTTAAGGAATTCGAACAAGTGTCACCTAGTACTGCATTGCATGTAGTCACCACTGTCTTATTCCTACCATACATCATCGAATTCAGAACACACTGCACCTGCTTCTGTTCTGAGTGCTGGATAATATCAAAGGACTTCATACATTTAGTGTCGTTATTAATCGAATCAGCAAACTTATAGTTATCTACTGAACTGCATTTTAAGGTATGTGTTCTGCAAGCTGATACTACCTGACATTCTAATCACTATCTTCAGTGTGGTTCAAAGACTTGGAGATGGCTAACATTTGTATGTATTGATTACTCTCAGCTTACCGAATTCTTGGGATTCTCTTCATTTTATTGGTTACAAAGAATTCATGCATAACATCCAGAACTCGATACAATTGTTTCAGTGTTAAGGTAAAAGTAGGGCATTTAAAAAGAAGTAAAATGTTTACCAATTTAATATGCGGATGTAATCTTTATTTGTGTAATAACTCAAGATTCAACTGTGAATATTTCTATCGATCAGTGACATACTGTGATTATTCTCTGAAAGTCTTTCACATGCCAGTATATGAGGATGGCACAAGATCTGTCATCATGTCGAATAAATTAATGGAGTTCTTTCATTTTTCAATGGTACTTCACTTATTGGTCTATTAAGATTGATTGTAAGTTATGCCTCGTCAATAAGTAATTCATCGTTTTTATTACCGCGCAAATTAATTTTCCTTGAACTCATTTTAACTGTTATGGAAAGTCGTAATAGAATGCTCAAATTACTAAACTTAACGCGGTCTAACGAGGTGACAGTATCACATGTTTTAGGCTACATGATTACATGACTTACGTCTTAAATCTGTAGATTTCTTGAAGTCTGTTCTAAATGTGTTTTTTAACTTTTTATGTAGAAGTTGATGAATTGCTTTAATCTAGAACAGAAGTTACCTTGTCGACAGACCAGTTGACATTGCTATGAAACCTTTTTGACGATACCATACTAAAGTTCTTCATATTTGTTTGATATATGAGTCCAAGAGGAGATTTGAGGTTATCTTAGTTGGGAATACGAAAGCAACAAAAGGATTATTAGATATATATATATTAATTTTCACTTAATCATCTGAATAAGTCATGCTATAAACTAAGGGAAAGGATCTCAATCCCTTTTATGACTTTATTCCCAGCTCAAACATGACATCGATTGGTCAGACACCACTTACTAGCTTGGTGGTTGGCAGTTTCAAAGTAACTTTACTTCCACAAACATTTACAGTTACCTACCTTTGACATGAACTTGCCTCGTTAAAATGCTTCAACTAGATATGGTTTCAAATTCTAGGAGGAAATTTAAAACTAGGAATGCAAACACTTTCTGGGTAGATATTTGACAATTATAACTATGCAACATTCTTTTAGCTCTACACTAAGTGTTAATCAGCGCAAAAATATTCATGAAACATGCTAAACCTAAGTTCCTTTATTAACTAGTACTCACTTTTAAAAAATAAACCATTAGAATGTTGTTATACAAATAAAATTCAATCAACAAATGGTGTTTAACACAACTGTATACTGTCGTCGTTTTCTAAAGTCTCCCTCTTTTTCTTTTACCACAAATGTTGACTTGTAGTTACCTCGAAAATCCGGTAGTAGGTCAATGACTACAATGAAATTTATCAAATGACCGATGACAATGTCATGTGTTTGTTTTATCCTAAAACATGTTCATAATGTTTGGTTACAGTATTATGATTAGTCATGTAGACGTCGGTACTGTGAAGCATTTAGAAACCTTATTATATCAATTACAAGAAAGAAACAGGTAATTTCAAGCGACAGTAGTTTTTTTCAATTAGTGTGAATACACTAAGAAAATGAATACTGCTTACTTGTTCCTGTCATATGTTTCCATCGTGACTTGTAAACATTCGCTGTTATCATTATAAACAACTTCCTTTCGATCACGGTTCATTTAAGGAATATTATAGGAATTTCACGTATGTTGAAATATTTTTATCTAGGTCTATTATGTAGACTTTTAAAATGTTTTGCTTTCGCCTTGAAAAATTTTCAATAAGCATGTGAAAATGTAACTGAAATCTGGCATTGTATATAGCTGAACATCCGATAAATTCTTTGCTACGCTCTTTCATTGTCTTGTAACTTGTGGCTATAGCGATACACTTGCAAACAGCTTTCATTCTGTTATACATACACCAACTTTCAGTATAATCCCTACCTACTGTAGCATCTCAGATGGCATACTGCTTACTTATGAACGGATATTCCTAGTTTGATCTTGAGAGTAGAATCTAAATAAGCAAAATAGTTAGCCAAATCCAAGACGATGTTTACTACCTAAAGTGAAGTTGTTAGTTCAAAATATTATTGTATGCCTTTCTTTAAGTGAATAATATTCCTTTCTTATTGTAGAAATTTCAAAACCTTGAAGTTCACTTGTTATGTGCGCTTAATAAGGCTAGGCTAAACAGATATGAGTACGATTTTGGCTATAACTTCAAACCTGCTAAGATTCCATTAAAACATTTACATGAAACACAAGCATCAACTAAATAAGTTTATGTGGTAGGTTCTTCTGTCCTCCTAGTAATACTGGAGGACAAGAGAGTTAATATTTCTACCTGTTGTCACTCAAGTATTCAATGAAATACTGACTGACAAAGTCAACGTAGAACCTTGTGCATAAGTGCATCCGCGCAAGTTGCCACATTTCATAGTAGGACACAAAGAACACGTGGATAGAAAAAATGATATCAAAGTAAACAGGGCTGTGTGAGAGGGTAAAGAACCTGAAGATAAAGGTTAGTGCGAATACTGAAGCATCAGAAGATGTCAAGGAGTGAATATATTCTCCCATTGTGACCCATTTTCGGCCTCGTCACCAACAGGCCTCAACCACTGATTCTTTTCATCTCGGGGCCCAACTAGGTAGTTTACGTTTCCCCTCATGGCTCAGATCAACAGCAAGAGACTTCATCCACTGTTGCCACGTCTTGGTCTGACCATCCTGAACCCTTTTCCATCCTAATCTAACTTCCCTCAGCATGGAACGTTGAGGTAGACGGTGACTCGGTATGACCGACACATTTCCAAGCCATCTCAGTCGACTAAGGTTCATAACCTAATCAATCCACTTGTCTGTCTTGCCTAGTACCCATCTGCTGACCTCTGCATTGGTCATACGATGAATCCAATGAACGTGAGCAATACTACAAAGACAGTTGTAATCAAAACCCTGTAACAGCTTCACGTGGTCAACTTTCAATGGCCATGTTTCATAACCGTAGAACAGGACAGATCGGACTGCAGAGCAGTATACGTATCCTTTGATAAAATAATCGGATTTCTAGCCAGTTGGCGCCACAGATTACGTAAGTTGGCAAATGCCAAAAGAGCCTTCTGTATCCGAGCTGAGACCTCGTCAACAGCCGTTCAGCGGGTTGACGCAACTCCTCAAGTGTATGAAGTGGTTGGCACATTTCACCACTTCACCTCCTATCATTAAACTGTGAGTGGTTTCAGATCAGTCTTGAAGCATCATCTTACACTTGACAAGTGCAAAACGTATGGGGAACATACTCAGATTTCTGCCCAGAGCGTTAGCAACGAAATAATTAATCACACTTTCGTTCATTCAGACTCACTTTTAATCATCCAGGCCAGTAGGATTTAACAAATTTGGCAAATTTATAAAATGAAAGAGAGGTAAGGGAAAAGATCTTGACTTCTGTCTGAGTTAGTTGTTGTGCATGGATAATAAAGCATCTAAAACTGAAGAATATGTCCTTCACAGCTAGAAGTTTCAGACGGTGGAGTTAGACCTGGTTCTTGGAGTTTAGACTCACAATAACGGCATTGTCCTCCTGATACTGAAAGAATACAGTCTTCTGGACGTTTGTAAAATATATGTGGGTTTTTTGGCATTTATTTCTTATCCTTCGCATTCAAACTTAAGTTTGAGACTAGGTCTTTACTCCCGCCTAACTTAAAAATTAAGAGTGGAACTCTTTCTAATTCACCTACCTGGAAATTCATATCACTTCCTTAGAATCTGGTTATCGATGGTGGTTTAGTACCACGTTATTTCACCTCTGGCACAGAAAAAATATTCAGATACCTGTTACGGTTCAAGGTTACTGAGTAGTGATAGTGAAAAAAGACGTATGAGTGTAAAACACTGGCAACAGGCAAAGGTGTTTTATCACGAATGTCTTTATTCAATCGCTTATGTTGTTTATGACCACATAGTGAGTATGCTGAGATTAGTTATTATGATGGGCAAAGATGAAAGTGATCTGATAAGGCTATGAACTTCAACTGGCTAGAGTGTTAGAGAATATGTCACTACTGTCAATCTGCACATAAATTAGGATTTTATGTTAAATGAAATAGGAGTGGGGTAAAAAGTATCACAAGGTAAAATGACTAATGCACAGCGTTAAACTGCAGATAGGTGACAATCATTGGCTTCACTATTGTACATAAATGACCACAGAACTTTTAATGATCAGTTATGTCACTGTACAATGGGGCTCAGGTCGATCTTAGTTCAAAATGTACACCGTTATAGGTAATTAAATGAAGTAAAACTGTTTCTGAACTGCCAAATTTTACTAGATTTTTTTAAAATAAAGGATAATTCATTGTTTTATCTAATTTCAATAATTTTTCCACTTAGAAACACGCGGTTTTATCTTTCCTTGTTGATGTTTCTATCTTTTTTAAACCACAGATAAACACATCAATGCTTCCAACACCAAAACCAATCACACCCTACTGTCAACCTTCTAATCCTAGTAAGTTTAATTCCATTTCTCGTGAAATATGAATGTTTTAAAACCTCAAACGTTTTAAAAATGCTTATTATAAATACTTTTTGATGTAACCCACTGACACTTCTTTTTCCCGGATAAATAATAATAGATTTACTATTGATTATGATCACAAGTTGCTCACAAAGCGTGTTAGTACTATTCTGAATAATAAATCAAAGATGAAAAAGTTAGGACATTTCATAATATGCAAATCTAGTCACTTGCAACAAAGTTGTACATCTTTAGTTTGGTAAGGAATTTACGAAATAATAATAGATAACTAACGGAAATAAAGACAAAAACTGCATTTTCTCGGTAGTATTTATTTTTCGATCATTCTTCTACCACTGAAGAGAAAGAGACAGCTATTTTCAGCATACTTTACTATAACAGCATGATATCTTATTGAAAAGAACCTGAGCAGTTAAACTTGCTTCACTGTTATCATATAAGGAAAATCAAAACTAATTTAAGGTGTTCTGTTGGTGAAAAGTAACACTTTCTTCATTCAGATACGCACCTTAATAAATTTATAGAATTTCAGAAATTCAAGGTAAGTACATCAGGTTACAGCACATTAGTCAGGGAAGAATAAGTTTCATGAATAAATAAATCCATCATTTTTGGCATACGAATACAACAATTCACTTATCATAAATATTTGAGAAGTAAAATAATGTTTAAACTCTGAAAGCGTTTGTTCGTTTGTAATTAGTTCTAGTGGAGATAAAGACAATCTGCTAGGTGGTAAGTATGATGAAAAGGAGCTGAATTCTGTTTCTCATCTTCACTGTTGTTGAAAGAAGATAGAAAACTGAAATCGATTTCTGATATAAGGGCATTAACTCAACAAATATACCACTTGATGGAAAAGTTGAATAAAAATTGTCATATTTTAGTTAGAGTCAACGGCTTTTGCAAGATTATGCATCCATGAGACGTGAATAAATTATTTAAGCTTTGCTTTGAAAGCTTCCAACAAGCTAGAAATCTAAATTTACTAGTACCTGCTTCAAAAATCTACAAATTCTATAGAAATACACTTTGCTGGAAAAATTCAAGCAGAAATAAACACATTTTTTGGTGTTTAAACATTCTTTGTCTTATTGAACTCAAATGATTACATAGACTGACTTTACCATGGGTAAATCTTGACTTCTGTCATTCCCCATCGATACTTAATTTATATGACTGGCTTTAAAGGAGCAAGTAAATTTGTAGACACATTGAGGTGACCCGAAGCGACAAATTGTCCATAACACAGTCCGAAACCAAGCTTAAAGGCCAACATGCTGGATACCGACAGTGATTCTCACTGGTAAGTGACATCATGGTGGAAGTGAAAAGCGACTAATATCTGAACGTATATGCATATGTTTCTCATTGAAAAAATTGGACAAGCATAAACAAGTTTTACGTAATGAACAATTTTCAGTAGCCGGTTCGAATCCGGCTGCAGTTCAAATTTTCACTTCACCTTCATTCACCACCCAGTATAAACACTAGTCTGCCAAACCCTAATTATCTCAGATAGTCAAAATGATCATAATAAAAGTGTTTTATTTTATCATAACTGCTGTATAAGTCATATGCTTAGGGGAATAGTTCACTTGTTTGAACTAGTTTTATTCCCTCCAGTTGTTTTACTAAACTGAATATATAGAGTGAAATGTATAATTTGACCTAACAATTATCTTCTGAAGTTGACAATTATACTATTTGCTGATATTACTTGAGACAGGATATTTTTCTATTTCTGTCTTTGTCATTTTCCTTCTATCTTTATATTGGTTTCATTTACAAACTACAATAAGTTTGACCTAGTAGCAGTACTTATGGGTTATTTATTTGAATTACGGTTCATTTTAGTATTTTAGTTCACATAACTTTCCTGTTATGATCAGCAGGGTTGCGTTATGGATCACACTTGTAGCATGCAAGAAAGTTACTTTGTGTATAACTGGGAAGCATGAATTTACTTCTTGTACATGAAAATAATAAAAGTGAACCATAATACCAGGTCCACCAATTGAAAGTTTGATTACATCAGGGAATATATTTTGTTTTCTTTTGATTTCAATCCAGAAGCTACTTATATACAATAATTGCCTCAATAAATTTTTTATCGATTCGCAAACTTCAGTTGTTATAGTGGAACCTTTACCTAATTAATATATGCTACCTCATTTCCCTACTACCTAGGTCACTGTACTTAAATAATAGACAGACTTCAAGTGTAGAATAATCGACCGTCAGTTTTTTGTTTAAATGAGTTTGCACATGTGCACAGTTTTTTTTTGCGCTATTAATATTACTAACAATAACTCGATTCTTTTACTCGCATAACACCTGCGTGTAAAGTTAACTACTCAATTAACCATTTCTTCACACACATAAACAGACTGAAAAATTAATTATATTCCTTGTTAACTTCACCTTCATTAAAGGCATCTCAAACACCATACAGTTGAGGATGAACTCTAAAGAAAACAAATAATATTTTTGTCAACTTATTTGCTAATCAAATTAGCAACCACTAGAATATCACATGAATTAGATACCATACAGTGTGAATACACTTGAACTATATTGAGAATTGACAGGTAGGAAATTAAAAGAAAGGTAATTATCTTTCTGACGACTCATCTCCACATCTAGACATTCATAAAGATATAAGCAAAATGGAGGAATGTTCCAGACAAGTCTCCTTTCACAGGTCAAACTTAATCGATAAGTGCATGTAGGGAATGAAATGATATTCCGTAACATAATCTCAATAGCTTTTATAAAATATACTGAACAGTAAGATTTGGTATCAAGTAAAAATAGATAAACAAACACGTGGTGGAATATAAATAAATAAAATCTAAACAGAGGTGCAGAGGAAGAGGAATTTTGTAAGCTCACTCTCACTAAGTATAAGAAAGATGTACAGTGATGATCCACTTGTTAAGGAATCGGAAACCCTCTGAGAAATACTAATATAGTATAAAAAAAGAATAACAAAATCTTCATAGGACTTTGCACATGCATTAAACTTTCTTTTCAACCAATCGCTTTGCTTCTAAATTTCGTGAGGAAACACGTGACCCAACGTGTAATTATCAGGTTGGTTGAAGATGTGAAAAATCAATAGAAGTTAAGTCTAGTAGGCCTAGAGAAATAGCCTGAGCCATCGTAATTTGTGTATGTCGTCAACTTTGCCGCTGATGTTGTAAAATACATCGAGTGACCACTAAGCGTGGAATCTAAATGGTATTTCTACATACATCCACATAGACGCGATTCAGGCTATATCAATTCACTGGTAAAGAAATGTAAAGGTGATAACTGAAGTATATAAAAAGTACTGTTAGAAAATGTCTACACATCTAGGTTTATAGAAGAAAATATAAAGGAAAAGAAGACTATGGAGCAGATTCAGACAGCCCCGAAGAAATACTTTTGTTGAATCTCAGATTTAAGGGTGATATTGATGAGGACATCCTTTATCCACGTTTGTCAAAGTACCTGAATAGAACGTTCCATAATGCAAGCCTCCGTAGTAGGTTCTCATATTGATAGCTGATCCATCAGTGCGTAAAAGACAAGCTGAAGCATTGGGTCTCGTCAGTGTGCATATACAAGTTCACTCACTCCAGTGGAAGTGAGTACATCGGCCATAGTATGACCTTGCTTGAAAAGCAACCAACATTTTCTTAAAGTTCGATCAAACCCTTAAAAAGCAATAAGGTTTAGAAACATATATGCAGCTGTGGCTTTGACAATTAACAGTTTCAAACCTCATTTGTGCAGTCAAACGAAACATGGACAAACACTCTCTTCACTGTGGCCTTAATCACGTACTCTGCACCTCTGTTTAGATTTTATTTATTTATATTCCACCACGTGTTTGTTTATCTATTTTTACTTGATACCCAACCTTATTGTCCAGTGTATTTTATAAAAGCTATTGAGATTATGTCTTATGTTACGGAATACCATTTCATCCCGACCGATGGCTGCTACCTTGACGTGATGGTCGGGCTTGCATATCACAATGACCCAACAAGCTATGCTGGTGGAACACTTGTTCCCTCGAGGTCCTACCATACCAAAAACGTCTGTTGGATAGTGGTTAGACGGAAAGCAGTTACCAGTATAGTGTAAATTGCTACACTATGATGGGGGTCTGAGGGCGAAGTCGTACTGCTGCTAGCTGGATGGGGTGTGACAGCAGTAAGGTGTTTCCCTTGGATGACCAGCAGTGCCATGCTGATGCTGCCTTCTCAGTGGAAGGGGGGGTTAGAAAAGGTCGGCCTCAAAAATAACACACTCCACCACGCCCCACGGTCTGCCGGGCCGGCGGTGTTGGTTCACTTGTCGTTTCCTTTCGACCATCCGGCCCCAAAAATACAAAAGCTCAAAATAATCATACTCAAAAGGCTGGGTGTGACAGGCCTCAAGCAGATGTCCGATGGGCTCTGCGGTCACACAAATCTCTTTCAGGTACCTTAAGAAGAAATAGCCTTCCACGGTGTGGGCAGCCGGGAAGTGTCAACCGCCCTCACAACTCTGTCACCACTCAAGTTTCTTCTGACTGCTATCCACCTCCTCCATCATTACCTTCTAATCTTCCTTCACGTCTCTTAACTAACCATACTGCATCATCTTCAATTTCTCCTACCTCTGCAGCCTTCGACAACGATCTGAGTCCACAGAACAGCATACTCGGTCTCCTTAAACCACGCTCCAAATTACATATTGGAGCCTTCAATGTCCGCACCCTCCGTCAAATTGGCCAACAGGCTTCGTTGGCAAAGACTCTAGCAACTCGGAACATGGATGTGTGCTGTGTTTGTGAGACACGCATACAGGACCCAAGTGTGGTTATTCACCTGACCTCTCCTGACCAATCTGGTGAATCCACAAAATTCACCCTTCGAGTTTCTGGAGATTCGATAGCTAGCTCTCGTGGTCTTGCAGGTGTAGGTATAGCATTA